TTGTCTCATTAAATCACTTAAACAATTATTTAAGTACGTTATATTGGATCAACACTATACAGACTAAAATATATAAGGTATTATAAGGTCTTAGTCCATGATCAACACAAACAATAATTAATTAGATTTGAGAAAAATAAAATTATTTTGCACATTTGGTTGGTACCTCTTTAAATGTTGTGTCGTGTACATCATTTTATTACAGTTGTATCATCTGTAGAGGAGTTTCAGTTGAATAAAAACCAATGTTCTGCGTAAAGACATATTTCGAAGGGGTTTTCTTTTAATTTAGTATTGAAGATAAACGATTTACAACTTACAAAGCAAATATAATAATATCTCTACACGAGTTTGAGGTACTAAGTATATGAGGAAAATGTTGATAGTAATATTTTACCGTGAAAGCATGAAGAGCCTAGTTGACAAATTTATAGATCAGTGTGTTTTTTTCTTTGAATGATGTATTTTTATATTATACTATATTTTTTGGATTCTAGTTTTTTCTTAAATTATATCCATCCGCAACTTAAAAAATATATGTAATAATCCTAACGTAACTAAGCAACAATACTACTTGAATTATTATACTTAATATTGCACACCAAACACTTTTTTGAATTTTCAACTAACGTGTATCATTATTGCATACACGGAACGCCATGTTACAATATGATATATTATTTTTTTCGTGATTTGTATAACTTTACTATTATTATCGAAGGAATTTGCCATGGATTTTTTTTAATAAATAAATAATTATTTAAATTAGATACTTCTTCGGAATACTCAGTTTTATTAAATCAATGAATGTAAAAAAAACTAAATAACGATTTATGTTGCTAAAATATAATAATATAACACTGCAGAACCTTGGTGTTACACAATAAAAACGATGTCATTCGATGAAAGTACTATAAAATGTATAATAATTAAATCGTGCAGAATAAAACCATAATACAATTTTTACGGACGTTGCATATAACTATTTAATTGTAATTGCATTTTAATTCGTTTGTATGTGGCTTTATCGCAACGTATTCATTGTACACGATCACTGACCAGACACATTTCGAATGATCGCACAAATGAGATTGTACTCGATCGCCGTACGTTTGTATAATAATTGGCTTGTACCGCTATTTAATAAATTGTTTAACGATCGGTTTAATTGCTAATCAATTTCGGTCGTTCCGTTGAAACGCGTTAAAAATATTAATAGGATTTCGACATGGTCCCATTTTAAGGGATTCGTCGGGACCTTCTATGAACCGAAAAAAAAAATTATATATATATATATATACGTATAGCTACAACCCCAGCGGATCAGAGCACGTCCGCTGTGATTTGCGTCAACGTGCTCAGCACTAAAACACAAAGGGTTTAAAAGTTGCGCCAAAGTAATGGTATGCACCGGTGCCGGAAGCGCCTCGGATAAAAACCCTCCTATTATATTATACTTAAGGAGAGTTTTTTTTTTATTTTATAATTATTATTATCATTCAAACTCAACCCTCGGCAGTAACGTAAACGGAGGCGTAATAATTACGGGTATTATCCACTTAACGATGCTCTCCTGTGGGATCCGACCCGTGTGCCGGCCGGGCTTTCTAAAACCACAGACCTTTGCCGTACACTATACCGCTCAAAACGGACGGTTTCGAGAAAATAATGACAGACGTGTATTATTATTATTATAGCCGTTATTCGGCCACGCGTGCTTCAGAACACATCACAGGCACACAGCCACACAGGCACGTAGGCAGAATTTTTGTAAAGGGTGGTGTTTTGATTTAATATTTAAATACAGATTTGATTTAAAGTCATCTGTTCACACATCAATCATGGAGCTAAACGGTCCACATTAATAAATTATAAAATGCATTTAACTTTTGAATATTTGTTTAAACAAAATATATTACTGTAAAATATGAAAAATAACGAAAATTAGCATATTACAATACATGCATTTGGATTATACTGTCGAGGGGGGAGGTTAGCACCCAAACTAATGTATCTATCCTGGAAACGCAAGCTGCGAGCCCATAACATTTAACATTACGAAGATGCGTCCGGTGTCAAACGAATAGTCCAAAAGCTACTGATGGTTTGACCTTACTCATTTAGCTCACTTGATTTTTTATAGTCTAATATAGAATCGAGCCTCCCGAGTACGATAAAAAAATTTGTGGAAGTATTATTATTTTAAATATTTTAAGAACCTAAGTAATACGCGTTTAAATTTTGATTTAGCTGATACCTCAATAATTTCTAAAAAATCGTCTGCTTATCAATTCACCTTGAAAATATTGGCGCTCATTTGAAAAAAAAGGAGTATTTTTGTCACCCCGGGACACTCCTAAAACGGTATAAAAATCTAAGTATTTGAAAATATAGGCTTAAAACTAAATATAGGTTACAGGTAGGCACCTACCTAAATGTTCCAAAAACCAGAATTTAAATAAACTTATAATTATTAAAGGAAAATATAGGTATGAGCGTGCATAGAGAATCACTCTGTATATTGCATAAAAAGAGAAGGATAGAGCCAAGTGCACGTGACTGCCATACCGAGAGTGGTAGTCTTGAAAATCGGAGCTTGTGTAATCTTCAGAGAACATACCTATATTATGTATTATAATATAATATAATCGTGTGCTCTAAACGAGTGCAGCGCGGTATTATTCAAACCAATTCGGATGTAAACGGAATCGTTTGTTGATTTTAAAACGCACGTACTTGGTTTCCCGTGATATTTGCTAAATAAACAGAAAATGTACTATGAAAAACCCTGCGGCAATGTTTCATAAATTATAATATCTTTGCGTATTCTGAATTCGTCACTGCGCATTACAATAAATTACGATGCTATCGACTTAACTTTTAATTACCGCGCACAACAATGCGAATTGTATCCGTTTACAAAACAATAAGGCCCATTGAAATTATAGTTTCCATATACTAATTCCCTATTATGTATATGGTTTCGACTTTCCATCTCGCACAATAGGCGTTGGATACGTATTTGGACAACGATATTTTCGAAAAAATGTAATAATTGCAGCATGATATTCTAACTTTATGAACTCAAAATTCCTCGAACTTTTTCCGATCCCTGAAATGTTCTATTTGTCTATTATCCGATGGATAACTCAAAATGTTTGGCTGGTCCCTACAAATCCAAGTTAACCAAATCCGACTGTACTAAGGTGGTAGTCGCTCGTTGCACACTTTTGTCAAGATCATCGGTGGCTTTATCTACAGATCGTGCAGTGGATTGAATAAAAATACATCTCTTGTCAATCACATTTCGCGCTAATTTAATTATTATAATATAATAATGTATAATGCCAGACGACCCGTTTATAACGAGATTGTCTCGCTTTTGGTCATCATGTCCAGTTGTCCCAACAAACTTCGAACGGGACGCTTTTCATTCCGAATTTAGTAGATGGTCCCGTTTTAATCCCGTTATTTTCATACTATTATATTATGTTTGTGAAAAAAATGTCGATTTATGAAACAGATATAAAACATTTTTGCTCGTATAGGTACATGTTTAAAATTAGAAACCAAATGTATAAATAACAGATAACACTTTTCGTGGAACGAATGTCGAGTCCCAATGCCGACGAACAGTAAAATTAGCGATAACATAATATTATTGTATAAGCGAATCGCATAATATGTCATCGTTCTACGAGCTTAAAATATTTATGCGATATTAAAATATTATTTATAATTTTGTAGTTCATAATAGGCGTAATATTCGGTAATAGTTTTTGGTTTACACTGTTCAATGTCGGCAGTCGATCAGTGAATTCCTTTCTGTAGAGTCGTTTTTTTATTTTGAAATTGACGCGGACCTATGGATATTTTTCCTAATTTTTAAAAATAATACTGAAGATGCCCAAGAGAAAAAATATTCCTAAACATTTAGACACTTTTATTATTCAGGTTATTTGTTCAAAAATGGTCGAGTAATAAGAAAATAATATTGTTTGTGATATCATGACTCGGATTTGTATTTTTACTCTCTACGGTTGTGTGCATACGCGTGAATGCATGGAAGGGTTTTTCTTTGGGGGGGGAAGTAACAAATGTCCCTTTTTTTTATTTTCTTAATACGGTCGGTCACCCTACGGTACACCACATATAACCTACCGCATGGCAATCCGCGGGAGCGAATCTGTACAATATAAATAAACCCACACCACTGCATGAAAGTTCAAATGCACGACGCGGATTTTCCTTGGAACCGGCTCAATGCACGCGCATATCAACAATAATAATAATAATAATAATAATAATAATAATAATAATAATAATAATAGGTGTTCGCGGCAGAGGGTTAGTTGAACGTTTGCCAACTGCAGGGCGACCGACACTAAATTAAACGGGCTTTGAATGATTGCGCACGCGCGTATAATATTATATTGTTTACCCGTACCTATGCGTATTCAGGCAGACAGTGCGACGACTCGGGGTGCAGGAACTGCATAATATTCGACAGAGTATTATTTCAATACGGTCGTAATATTAATACGATAATTGCGAAAGCCAGCCGGCAAGTATAATATACGCGTTTCTGTCGAGTACAATAACGTAGTAGGTAATAACAATATTATCATAATGTTGTATCCGCGGCATACACAGTTGCACATAATGGCACGTGGCGCGGTCGCCATGACGACGGGGGCGCACTGTGCAGCAGTTTTCGTGGCACGTAACAAATGTACACAATAATAATATCATACTGTTATAGCCTGTGGGTATTAACGACCACGTTGTCGACCGATTATGACGTTGTCGATCCGATGCTCGTCAGCTGAGCGGCATTGTTGTAGCTGTATTTTTTGTACGACTATTACGAGGTATAAGCGAACACGATGAGCCATTTATCGTTGCTTGTAATCCCGTGTAGTTGTTTCCATTTATTTGTTTATTCGATTTTGTTTTTTTTTTTTTTGGAGGGGGAGAGAGCTCTCAGGGCGTATACATACCTGGTTCAAATTTTCCGTCCGAAAATTCGTCGGTAGAAGCACCGAACCCACACAGCGTTACACAGACGACGATTGACGTCCACCTGAAATCAAAAACGGAAAATGATTAGTTAAATGTTCTCAGTTACAATCGATTGGAGTATTAACATCAAAATAATCAAACGACCGCAGTCTGTTGTAGATTGTCTGCGGACTATGAATGGCAAACCACAACCGCAGTTGTATAGTTTCACCATATTGTGCACAAGCGATTGAGCATAACCAAATAATCAAATAAATACAATTCTCGCCGGGGAAATATTATTTTGTGATACTTTTTTCACCCACTCGTCGGGGTGTTGAATGGATGACGTGTTTCGATATAACGTGTATGGTACATCAAATCATCAAACGAGGTGATGATAATAATAATAATCCATTATATTTTTGCGATTTCAGTAACTACACTTCAGTTATCGGGAATCGGTTATGAGGATTTGGTCTTATGTTTGATTAGGTTGAAGTAAAAAACGAAATAAGTTCTATAACATACGTCAGGGTGTATGACTTGTAAATAGTAAAACTATACCTAGACAAAAATGTATATAATACAATATATTATGTAATTAATTTTAAATCAGAAATTAGATAAAATAATATGTTTTGACACTGTTAAGTTGCTTTCATAATCAACCAACATTTTTGATTAAATATCATTTTCTTGAATTGTGTTCTTTTAATTTTCAAACAGTAAAAATGAAAAATAGTAGCATACTTGTAATATATATTATTAGTCTTAATTCCTATTCAATAAAACAAAATCACTGGGATCTAAAACTTTTCTAATCACAGAGAACCAAACTAAAAATAATAGTTTCATATATGTATATTATTTGCAAGGAAAACATTAGCCATTTATAGGGTTTAATGAAAAGTTGAAAAGTACATTAACAATATTGTCGAGTTGTTAAAAAAAAAATCAATATAGTTCATAACCTTTGGTATAGATTATCATGAAATATAATTTAATGATTTTGTACAAAAGGAGAAACACATTTTTCTATCATATTTCAATATGCAATTGAAACTAAAGTACAATTTACTCTCAACTAGAGTCATAGTTTTACAGTTGTATGATTCTTACACAAATTTATATTATTAGTAGGGCTGTGCATTTGTAGGAAAGTGCATTTTATGCATTTAATGCATTTGTTATTTATTTCTAATGTTTTTAAAAAATGTTTCAGGTGAATAGCATTAAATATAGAAAATTCAAATTCAATCAACATTTGTATTTTTATTTTTTTTATTTAATAAACACTTTTTTATGCATGTAATGTACCAATGTATAATATCCTGTACCTACCTAATATTAATATTAATGTAAAAATTAAATTAAAAACCAATTTAATTGATTTTTATACTATAATTTTTGGCATTTTATATTATATTTTTTAAGGTTCTTTAGTGCATTAAATTCACAGCCTTTATTATTAGGAAACACGATTATTAGAAGGAAAAAATATAGAATTTATTTGTTTACGTGTTTTATATTTTAGGTTCTAAATGTATCAAAAAATGTATTCGTTTCAGAATGAATCAAGTTGTATTCAAAATGCATATTAAGTTTCATTTTGTAGTTAATATTTTTTAGAAATCCTTTTCAATTTAAAAAATATGTTCCTTAAAATGCATTATATAGTTGCAACATAATAATATTAATTTCTGGTTTATAAATTAATTGTTTTTTCATGGATGTGGTGTATAAATGTTGAAGTCTGTTCCTTTGATTATTAAATTAAAAAATATGTTGTTTGGATATTTTCGTTTGCCAAACATTCATTAGGTTATTTTTATGAACTTCAAAAATCATTGTTTTATAATCAAACACTTTTATAGGTTGTACCTACATATCCCACTTAAATTGGAATAATATTATATAACCATTGATTACTTATTGGTATAATATGTAATAAATATTTTATGATTTAATTTTTATTGTCATTACATCATGCTGAATACCTATAATAATAATAGATAATAATATATTATGGTCTCTAGCATTATCTAGTATTGAGTATTTGATTTTCTACCTACTGTAACAGTATCAAAAATAATAAATACGAGTATTTTGCTAAGTGTGGGTTTAAATATACAATAACGATATGACAAAAATCTGAATAAATTGACTCGGTAATATTTTACGTGATTTTACCTTACATTTTTTTTTCTTGATGTTTTTTTCTGGACATATCAAACAAACCATACTCTGAATGATGATAACCGTATTGATTGACCGTTCCAGAAGTCCCAACACTATTGGTCCCAGAGGGATTAAATACGTTCACTTTGAACCTTTATTTTTATTTTACATACATAGTAAAAAAATTTGCAATATACCCATCCTACTCTTATTTACGTAATTGTGGGCATAATAAAATCACGAATCGAATTTACGGTTATGGTGTATGAACCTTAAAGAATATCTTAAAAATGATTGCGTTATTGTTCCGAAATAAGCTTATAAGTTTTAGGATTTTTTACAAATATTCAAATCGATATACAATTAATATTCAAATGAAAATTTCAATGTCAAATAGACAAATGTAAAAACAAAATACAAATACTATGTTGGGTAGACATAGTGATTATAGTTTAATTTAAAATCCACAAAACCCGTTGTGGTCGTTGCGCATTTATCGGAAATTAAATTTACATTTTCAAATGCGAATTATTACTCATTGGTTATTAGTTATTAAATATTATGACAGACTTGAGTCATTGACTAGATACTAAAGGTTGGCTTAGCTATAAAATAACATGAGTAACGACATTGCTTAAGTGTACAAGAATATTATAATTATGTAGGTAATGGTTCAGAGTAAAGTCATCTGCATTATAAGAGGTTGGACGAAACACTATGAACAACCATACACACGTTTCTATTTAGGTCGTAAAAATATGCAATATATGCACAAATTTGCATTACTTTCAACCTCGGTTATTGTGCATTACGATGGGCAGGGTCGTGACTCAAAACCCGGGACTAAAAATTATGTAGGCAATCAAAATGTCAACTATGGAATGTCGAAGACGATATTCTGAAACGACGAAGAAGCGTCAGCCAAATGCAATTGTAGTACGCGAATAATTAAAAAATATATACACATACGTGAGTCGTAAGATATTACTTATGTCGACCTGCATGCAGCGAACTTAAAGTTGGTCACTGAAGTTGCATACGTATTGTATGTTAGTCGCTTTGCGATGCAGAAAATGTATTTTTCTGAAATCGCTCTGCTAAAATATATTGGTGGTTAATTTAGGGCGTACGATTTTAAAACCCGTTTTTCGTTACAACGCAAAAACATAAGGTAAGATTATTTTGTCACTTAATATTTGTTCATAATATAGTACAACATCGTGTTCTAATTATAGAATTCAATTCCATTTCTAATAAATAAATATCTTAGAAAAAAACACCCATCATATGAGGCAAGTTATTACATTCCGTCAGTGGCATGTTATTGCTGGATAATGTTGTATGATGTAAAATTATTTACTTACGACTTTGTAGCTATTTCTTTTGTTGTTAAATTGGACAGCTATATTTATTTGTATAATACAAGACTGCATCAATAACACTTATTAATTATTGCAAGTGGTTTATTTTTATCTTATTAAATGTTGCGAAGATTTTTGAAATAAAATGAAATATTGTTTGTATTATGTTTTTATTTATTTTGTTTACAAATTGGTTTAGGTATTTACTATGAAATATGTTGTTAGTTAATGTAACTGTTGATTTCTTATTTATTTTGGATAATAATATTTCAAAATGTAAACTGTAACAATGTTCCCCTGGACTATAACAATTTACCCCGCAAAAGGTTGTAGCAGTATGAATATTAGTATTAAAAATTAATTTTTTTCACTGTATTATCATGAAAAGGTACCACAAAGTTACTTCGTAGAATGGTCTCACTAAAATTATGATTACAGTAAAAGTATTTTAAAAATCCGATACGTCAAAAGTGTAACAACTAACTCCGCACTCCCCTACACAAAAGTTAATCGTGCGTACTGATTGTATTAATTTACACTTTGAGTACATTTTAACCGAACTCCTTTACACGGTGTGAACGAAAAAAAAAATGCGACTAGTTGTTGATGTAAAACCGTGTAAACACGTGTAATTAATATTAACTACTCGGAGTCTCGCAGCGACCGAGAAGACGTATGATGTACCATGGAGGTTGTATGTAATAATGTGTGTTAGCAAACTATATCTAAAGAATGTTTTCAAATTAAAATATTTCATCAATTCGTGCACGGAGTTTGGGAAAAAATGCAATCAACAGTTTCTGGCCAACTGCCTGCTGTTGTATACGATTGCCGATGGCAGTGCACGTTTGGCCGTACAGACAACGCCAAAACAGTCTGCTGAATCGGCCGTCCGACGTAATTTTATACACATTTTGGGCACATATTTTATCAACGAAATACCATGCAGGCTGGGACCGGACGACGAAAGCTAAAATTGTTCGACAAATTAAAAATTTAAAACACGATCATCACTCAGCTGCTCACCACCACTAGGATCACACATCACAACGAATTAATAACGGTCGACGCTATATTGTTTGATATATTTGACGTGATGACGACACCAGCTCAAATAAATGTGTAATAAGAGATTATTATTATTATTATTATGACGTAACGCAATTTTTTATCTCGGGTTTGGCGGTGACTAATAATAATATTAATTCTACATCGCGGTGTAGTTTTGTTCGATCGAGGGACGCAAAGAATTATAATTTAAGGATTAAAAACGAAGAGTCGATAACTTTTGGACGAAGAAAAGGGTGAACGAAAAGATTTTAATTTAAATGCTAATTTTAATGGGGTTTGGCAAGCCTCGGTAACGGATTCATAATTTTTCAAAGTTTCGTCCCAGATTTATTCTCCGACTATTCATATAATATACGACTACTACGTAAAAGTCGGCAAAGTTTTCTTTTTTATGCATTTTCTTCCTGTGATTTTTTTTATTCACTGATTTTTTCTGCTACTTGTTTATTATTAGACTACGGAATAAACC